CGCCCCCCCGCCACTGCGGAGCCGAGCCCAGCCGAGCTCGGGCTCGAGCCCGGCCGGGCCCAGTCCAGTCCCGCCCAGCCCGGCCCGGCCAGAGCCCGGCCGAGCCCGAGCCGAACCGAGACCCTCCGAGCCCCCCCCCCGGGGATTGGACCGCTCCGCCGCCTCCTGCTGCGCTCGCCTCGGGCTCGGCTGAGCGACGGGCTCGTCTCGGTTCGGCTCGCATCCACTCGGCTTGGCTCGGGTCGGGTCACTGGGCCCATTCCTCTCCCTCGGTCCGGCAGGACCGTTCCCCGGACCGACCCCGCCCGGGGTAGCACCGTGGCATGGCTCCGATAAGTGCTGGAAGGTCCCCGCGTGGCTGCCTTTGGCCGGAGTGCGCCCGCAGGGAGAGCGTCCATCCTCCCGCACCCCTCACGAGCCCCGGGGAGGCCTGCGGGCTGCCGGCGTAGCCCCTCGGACGGGCAGCAGACCTTCCCCACCCTCCTGGCGGGGACCGAGCAAGTAAGTTGCCACCACTGTGGATGCGCCCGCTCGGGGGCAGCAGGAGTCGACCCAAATTCTGTGACAGAGCGAGGCCAGGTACACGGCTGTGCCAGGTCAGATGTGGTGACAGGGTTGGGGTGCACAACGTGCGCCAGGCTGGGTGTGGTGGATGACTGGCTGGGGTAAACGGCTATGCCAGTAGTGTCACACAGGCTGTCAGCACTCTTAACGCCGGTAGGTGCCCTTGCGCAATCCTGCCACTGCCCTGTCAGCCTCACAGCGGTCCCAAACCCAGCAGAGACCAAATCATGCCGGGCCAGTTTCATTCTCAGGCAACGAGATGCACCGCGTTAGCTGCAGTTGAACTCGGCTGTCATTCACTGTTTGAGAAGATTCGCAGCTGATTTGCAAATCAGACAAATGCAGATGAAAAACACATTGTGTTCCCCTGCAGGAGCCAAGGAGCCGTGTGCCTCCGGCTGGGCACGGGCAGTGCTGTCACCCTCGGCACAGCCCGAGCTGGCTCCGTGACACTGCCCGGGGACACGAGCCAGTGCCGCCCTCAGCCGTGCTCCGGGCAGCGATACCGCTCCCCCCGCAGCCCCTCTGCCACGGGCTCAGTGAGTGCGAGCATAGTCTGGGAGGGGCTTCTTTAATTAAAACCCGCCTCGGGGTTCTTTCCTTAGGGCAGCGCCCTGGGCACGCCCGTCAGCGCCACGGTCGGACCCACTCGGCGAGGCCCGACAGCGTTTGCCGCGTCTCTCTGCGGGTGCCGAAGCAGAGCCCGGTGCCCCCGGAGCGGGACTCGGTGCCCCGGGGCGGAGCGCGGCGCGCCCCGATGACGCCGGGAGCGGGCGGAAGGGGCGCGTCGCGGGCGGGCGGAAGCGGCGGGCGGGACGATGGGCCCGAGGCGGCGGTGAGCGGCGCGGGCATGGCGGCGGCGGCGGCCCGCGGCTGCCCCCCGGCGGGCTCCGGGGACCGCTCCCTGGCCGAGCTGCTGCTGGAGTTCTCCCGGGCACAGTACCGCGCCAAGGACGGCGGCGGTGCCGCCGCTGCCAAGGTGAGGGCAGCGGGGCTCGGGGGGCGCGGGGAGCGGGGACCGGCGCGGCGGGCATTGAGCGGTGGCTCTGCGCAGGTGGAGCGGATCGAGCGGCGGTGCCTGGAGCTCTTCGGCCGCGATTATCGCTACAGCGTGATCCCCAACGTGCACGGCGAGGTCTGCGCCCACTATCCGCGGCACATCGTCCTCCTGGAGCGCGATGCCGGCGCCAGCCGTGACTCGTAAGGCCCCCGGTTCCCGTGTCCCGTCCCGTGCAGGTGACGCCCGGCGGAGTTGTTGTCCCTGGGAGCTTCCGCGCCTGGCGCTCCGAGGCTCCCGCCGGCCTGGGGAAGCCCTGCGGGCTGCACTGCGCTAATTATAGCCGGTGGTGTCAGCCGCTCCCGGGACTCCCCTCGCTGCCTGCCGGGGCTGCCGAGCTCCCGTGGGGCTCCTGCCAGGGCTCTTGGGCCGCCTTGGGGAGAGCTGCCGAGCCAAACCTGTTACTCGGGAGCTGTGAAGGAAACGGGGGTGCTCCGGGGCAGCGCCAGCTCCGCTGATGTGGCCCTGGAGCAAACCTGAGCACAGCGTTGGCTCCTGGTGATTGTTGTGTTGCGGCCTGCCCGAGGGCTCAAGGTTGTGAGTAAGCCTGTGTGATGCTCTCACTGCCTTGATGAAGCATCTGTGGTCTTCCAGCGAGGCTTCTGATGTAGGCAGTTTTAGTCTGCAAATCATCTCGGGTCAGGGGGCCTGATAGGGGCTAGACCAACAAGACAGCCTAGACACATATTTCTGTTGTTTCAGACCAGGTTCCAGGTTATTTCGTCTCTCCCTGCCGTGGTGAACAGGTCAGTGGGCAATGAGGTTCAGTGAGCTAAAGGGAAACACTTGTTCAGTTTGGTGCACATTTGAGCCAACACATCTCTGGACTTTGACCCACAAGCTCAGGATCACGTTGGTCTTGTTTCTGGCTGAGTATGAGCTGCTCCTTCCAGCTCCAACCACAGCCTCTCATTTGTGCTTTTCCTTCAACAAAACATAATGCAGTTTTGCAGTCTTGTCTGTGTGTCCATGACAAGAGTGATGTGTTCAAAAGGAGGGTCAACAAGTCCTTCTCACATGTCCAGCTGCATTGCCTGAGGAAGGAAAACCATCAGCTGCCGTGCTGACACGTAGGCTGGGTGCTGTAGGAGGGGGTCTTTGGAAACCAGCCACAACTGACTACCAGGTGGGAGAGTTTCTGCCTAACAGTTGGATGAGATTAGAAAAGATTAAACCCCTTGCTGCAAAAAACAGGAAACGGAAGTTTGAAGCTGTTAAGTGTAACTAGGGGAAGCTTTAGGGAAGAGAAACTGAATGCTTCTGCTTTTCCTGCTCTTGCAAAAGGAAAGGATGCTTAATTTTTCTGACAAGTATTCAAAACAAGGGTACTTATACTTGGTGCCCCATTTTCTTCTGTGACCTTTGCAAGCCAGCAGTGACAATTGACTGTATTTATGCTGATTCTTGGCAAGTTTTGATTTACTGTCTGAAAGAGAGTGACAAAATCAGACTACACTTCATCATCACTCTCCTGATTTCAGCATGATGATTTCTGTAAAAGCTGCCAAGTAATTTTTAGACAAATGCAGATTTTAGTTTAATCATTTTACTCCTATGGAATAATTATTAAATAGAGACTCCTGCACATCTTGTGTTACGGAAGGAAAGAATCTCTTTCAGTCAGCAGGACACTCCATCATGGACTGAGTCTCTTTGGCTGCCTCTTGTGGAACCATAGAATGGTTTGAGTTGGAAGGGATCTTAAAGATCATCCAATTCCAGCCCCTACTGCCATGGGCAGGGATAACTTCCACTAGATCAGGTTGCTGAGGGCCCCATCCAACCTGGCCTTGAAGGCTTCTGGTTTTATCTCTGTAATGTTTTTAATCAGCTGGTAAGATCTACTTGAAGCTTCTCAACTCTGAGAATACTGAGGTGCTTTGGAAGAAGTTTTGACATGTACAAACTCTTTGCTGTACCATCGTTTCTGTCAGTACAGCTGCTTCTGGAGCCATGTGGAGAAGCAGCAAAAAATTGATATTTTTTAACCCAAATCAGTTCATTCTGTAGCTGGGCAGCTGGGGGAAGGAAGGACTTTGCCTGATCAAAGTTTGCTAACAGTACTCTGAAATCCAGGCAGGTACAGGAGAAATTCTGTGTGTTTTGAACCTTTTGCTTTTACTCCTATTTATGCTGCATTTAATCACTAGCTCCTGTAAAAGCATTACACTTGTTCTTCAGAGCAGCTTCCCCCTTTCTGCTGGAGTCTTGATACAACTGTGTTTGTTTACCACGTTCATCTCTTGCATTACTGAGGGTGGTTATTGAGATGAGAAGCTCTGAGAGCCTTATTTGTAGCCATGACTGATGGCAGAGCGGGTCTCTCCAGTGTGTGTGCAGCCTTCCCAAGGAACAGGCATGGTGTGCCTGGGAGAGGGGCTTATCCTTCCATGTCCCCAGCAGGGTGCAGGGCTTCCCACTCACTCTGTGTCCTGGGCTCCTGCCAGGCTGCTCAGACTCATTTGCAGAAACCTCTCCAGGGAATGCAGTGAGTGAAACTTGTTGTCTCAGCTCCCAGAGAGGTGCTTCTCTTATAATTTCTAATCTTTCAGATATTTCATTTTTGCTAACTCTCATCTTATTGGAAGCAGTGCCATGGAGCTATTTTGGTAACACTGCATTTAAGTTCTTGTTTCCCTCTGTATTTGCTTTTGTAAAGGGAACTGCAGCAGAGTGCAGGATATATCTCTTAATTGCATGCATTCATTTAAAAACAGCCCCGCAACCAAATCTGTGCATGGAATCTTTTGAGTTTCAAAATAGTTTGGTGTTTGGAATTATACTTGAAGGCATTATTATACTCTCACACTTGCTCACATTTTCCTGCCTTTCCAATTAGCACCCTCATGTTCACACTGTTTAAAGATGATTAGCTTGGGGTTTTGTTCTTTAAATTCTGGTATATGTCAAAGGTCTTTGGAGCTGGACAGCAAAATAATTGTATATGCAGGAAAACATGAAAAAACTTAAACCACCACTATGAATTCTGAGAACCAAATCCTTCTATTAAAAAAAAAAGAGTATTTGGAAGCCTTGTTTTCTGTTTCCATTGTTTCCCAGCTTCTACTGGCACCACCTTGTATAATATTTTCCATAAACATATTGATATCCATTTTAATAATAGGTTAATTTTTTCAATCCCTCCCAGAATGGCAGCTGCTGGTACATTGCTCCACACTCTCAGTGATTCTGAAGTTCAGCAACTTTCTTTAACTCCATTGTAAAGGTATTAATTTGTTCTTAGGCCACTGTTGAGTTCTCCTCCTCCTCCGTTGTACTCTGATGCTCATATTGCTGTGCATCTGCTCATCTTCATCTGCCCTTTCCATCAGACCCTGGTGGTTTCTCTTGCAGCATAGACTCTCCCTTGGCCATCCTACTCATCTTCCTGTGCCTCTTCAGGCAGGGGTGGGTCACTAGAATCAGATGCTTTATCTCAGCTGAGAGCCTGTGCTCTGCACAGTAGTGCTGGTACTTCTACATCTCTCTAGGGAATTTCCCATGATCTTATTTTTCCCCTTTTTCAGATTTACCATGTTGATAATGTATTAACATCCAGAGATCAGGCAATTCATCTGCCTCTTCTACTGTGCTCCATTACTGGAAAGGGCTAACTGGAAATTCTTGTTAATTGTTTCCAGGTGCATAGCCATGCAGTTTTCTATGTCCAGACTTAACCTGGTTTCTAATATATCACTCTGGATGCTTCTCCAATTCCAGCTCTAGTCCTCTCTACATTGACAGTTCCTCCTTGATGTCTCTGTAGTTCAGAAGTGAGTTTGGATTCCTATCAAATGTGGGCTGATACTTAGACAAACTGGAGCGATTTTAACATTTCCAAAATGTCTCCTGGTATGAAACACAATTCTATTTTGACTTCAACAAGAAAACAAAACAAAATCTAGTTCTGCAGAGGCAGCTGACATTAATCTAAGTACCCTGCTCAACCTACTAGCTGATTTAGTTGTTTAATTACCTGGCAACACAAATGCTTGAGGATCATGGAGTGCTCAAGATTTGATTTTCTATTATATTTCTTTTTTTCTTACGAAACTATCCCCCTGATAGTGAATTCACTGTGATGGTAGTGCTGAGCTGCTTTTGATTGGAAAGGTGATAGCAGGGCAAACAGAACATGCATTTTTGTAGACACTGACTGTCCTTCTCTAGTAATCCAGGTGTTAGTCTGTGGCAGACCCTACTGGTGGTGCTCATACTTGCCAGTTCCTGATGGTGCCGTCATGTACTGTGCATTGGTCTTTCAAAATCAAGAAAAGGAGCCAAAAAAGTGTCCAAATGTGTTGTACAGCAGCAGAAGCAATTCTCAAGGTGTTTTCATGCTTACTAACTTTCTAGGAAAGGGATGGGATTGCAACCCAGGGTTTCTGTGGCGGCTGTGCTGAAAGATGTGTGAGAAGATGCTCTGTGTACTGACCTGAATCTCTGCTCACTAGGTATGAGAGCACTGTGCAGGTTGGCAAACTGCAGGACCTCATCAACCGGAGCAAGATGGCCAGGTGTAGAGGACGCTTTGTTTGCCCAGTCATTCTGTACAAGGGAAAGGTAAAGTTTCATGGGTTACCTGTCTTTACTGAGAAAATGACCTTTCTCTCTGCCATTTGAACTGTGCAGCCACGCCTTCAGTCACGTGTCACTTTTCCAAATGGTGTAAAAATCTGTGCTTAGGTACAAGCAGGCAGCCTGTAGTAGCAGGTAGCACTGGCATTTCAGAGGGGAAAGATAATTATTGTCCCTGTTTGTCCCTTACTCTTCCCAGCAGCTCTCTGAGTAACTTTCCTCTCTCTAGAGAAGTTTCCTTTGTCTGTTCCCTTGGGAAGCAAGATTGCATAAATGGTCTTATGAATGTGTGGGCTTGTCTGCAAGGGGATCTGTAAGAAAGTGAAATTAGATTCATTTTCATGTGAATTACTTAAACTGTGTTGAAGCCCTGTAGGAATAGTCTCATTTAGAATTTAAGTAGCTTAATTCAGTTTTCTTAGTTGAATTTAGAAACACTGTATGAATAGCAAAATCATACCTGTGACAATTTTAATCTAGCTTAACAGATGCCATTGTGGGCTGCATCAGCTGACCTTTTTTGCAGGAGTGAACTGCCTGGAGTCATGTTGGGACCATCCATAATCTCATCCAGAGGAATGTGGAAATAAGGCTCAAGCAGGGTATTAACAGAGCATGTGTTGTTAACTTGGCAGGAACTGACTGTATTAATGCATTGGAGAATTGGAGATGAAAATATGATTCAAAAACTAGCTACAGATAAAGGCACTTGGGAGTTTGCTGTGTTTGGAGAACTCAGTCTGGACCAGGGTTGTAGGGCAGACAGTTGAGAGGTGATAGCTGTAGATACCAACCCTTACTATGTAACCTGACATCAAATAGGCATGATAAGGGAAGGACTCCTGGAGCCTGTGTGATTAATAAAAAAATCTTCCTTCAGCATATTTGCAGATCAGCCACACTGGCCGGCTGGGGAGAGCTCTATGGGCGCACTGGCTACAACTATATCTTCTCTGGTGAGTGAGGAGCCATTTGTCACTCTCTGCCTGGTAAGGCTAGTCATTGCGGGGACAGAGACCTACACATGAGGCCAAGCTCTTCCCAAAACCAGTGGGAGCTCTAGTATGGGCTGCTTGTCCCTCTCCAAGCACTGTATACAGGACAGTGCCACAGCTCATAAGAACTTCAGCCTCAAGTTCTTTTGTCACTGAAGAGTGAGTTAACAGGAAGTACATAGGCAAATAAAAGCATCCCAAAGGATTCAGAGTAGCAATTCCCAAACATTGGGGATGGGAATAATGGAGGGAAGAGGATTAGAAGTTGCTGTTGCTTGACTAATCATTGGGAATCAATGCTGCTAAAGGTGAGATATACTGGACTCTAGGGAAAGCTCTTCAGGGGAGTAGTGGGTGTCTGTAGTGTGTGAGCTGAAGCTTGTTTTAAAAAACCACTGCATACCATTTTTGGGGTGTCCTCTGGCTGTCAGTCATGGGTTTGACTTGCCCAGGTACTTTGCACTGACAAGGAAAGTGTGGGCTACATTAGAAAACAAGATTTTCAGGAAGAGGAAATGTGGGGAACCACACTTAGGTGTGAAGAGAAGGCCCATGACCTTTTTGTTTGTATACATATCTTGTTGGATTGGGGATCAAGTTGGTTCACAAAGGCTTCACTTCTTAATGCCTTTCTTGCAGGAGGTTCTGATGATGCTTGGGCAGATGCAGAAGACATTTCCGAGGAAGACTCTGCGCTTAGGTTTGTATGCATGATTGGGGTGAGGAAAAGGGAGTTTGCTGACTGGCTCAGCCATTCAGTTCTGCTCTTTTCTAGTTTGGGTGTTGGGCACAGGCTTGAGACCCATCACCAGGCTCAGGGTCTTATATTTCTTACTTTTGGAAAAGAGTCTTGAGTATTAATGCCTGGCTGAAGCTTGCTAATCTATTTTCAGAGGGAAGGGCTGGAGACAGGAATATGTAGAGCCATTAAAAATGTATTTGAAGGTCATGGCTGTGTTGACTTCATCAAAAAGTACATCTCCAGGCTGTAGAAATTTTGTTGTATCTTATGTGTTTGTTGCAGAACAGAGTGAGATGTGGGAAGGGACCATGAGCACAAAGCTTGCGGTGTCAATTTGCAGAGTCTGACTTGGCTCGTGCTGTGCTGCTTATGGCTAGGAGTGGTTCAGGGAAGAACTGTGGCTCAGCTGGGAAGAATCAGACTCACCTTGGTCAGTCTTCCACGCTCACCTTGCTTGTTCTGTCTTGCAGAAATGCAGACTCCCAGCTGTTTGACAAGGTCAGAGGGCACGACATCAAGCTGCTTCGATACCTGTCTGTCCGATACATCTGTGACCTGATGGTGGAAAACAAGAAGGTGAAATTTGGCTTGAAGTGAGTCTGGGTTCATTTGTTTTTGTGCAGGCATTGGTTTGCAGCCAGTGTAGCCCTTACATGTGAATTGCTGTCAGGTGTGCACTCAGCAATCTGGGAGCAGTTTCTGGAAGAATTGTGCAGCAGGATAGGTTAGTTGATGCTGTAAAGAAAACCCCATGGTTTTAGGCCACAGAAAACTGACCTAAAACCATGTATCAATAGGCAACATAGTTGCTTTCATCCGTCTTCTGCAGTCCGAGTAGCTTTTTGCCTGTAGAGCTTATAGTAATGAGACAGGCACCCCTTCATAAGGGAGACAGCAATGGAGCCCTCTGTGCATAGGAACAGAGGGAGCTGTTTCTCTGACTTATCTTAGAGAAGAGCCTTAGTGATTTTGGGCTGTGCCTATTTATGTGGATATGTTAAGTAAGTTCTGCCCCTGCTCACAGCTGAGTCAAGTCATAGCCCAGGGAGATGAAACAGGTAGATTTTTGGGTGCTGGTGTCTGTGCAAAAAACACTCTGTAAATATTTGCTCTTCTCCTCTTGTCCTGTGCAGTGTGACGTCTTCTGAGAAGGTGGACAAAGCTCAACGTTATGCTGATTTCACACTTCTCTCCATCCCATATCCAGGTACAGGAATGATGTCCAGAGGGATTCACAAGGGACAGGTGACAATCTGTTTCTGGGGACTGGGAAATAACTATGTGTGTGTGTATATGTAAATGACTGTGACTTGCTGAATGTTTCCTATGTTCCTTTTGGAGAAAAACTCCTTTAAACTGAGAACAATGCAGTGAACCTGGGTGCTCTGGCAGTGAGTCAGCATTAGGCACTCTTTGAGATGGCAAAATAATTTCTCAGCAGTCCTTATTAATTCAAGCACAGAGGAAAAGTCCCAGAGGTGGAGCTGGTTAAGATGGCCTTTGACATCTCTGCAACTCTAAACTACTACTTGATGCAAAGTATATATCTTGTTCTTTGTTATGTAAAGACCCAATTCTTAAGGATAATTTCTAGTCTAGTGTTCCAGAGCTCCACTGTAAGAAATCCTCAGTGCTTGCAGAACAGTTCACCTGAGCCTGCAGTGTACAACAGAGGCAGCCCTTTGCAGCCTGTCTCCCTGGCTGTATCCATCCCTGTGCCTAGCAACCGCTGCTGGGTCACTCACATCTTAGAGATGAACTGAATATTCCTGCTGCCTGCTGATGTCAGGCTTGGCGACAGGATCAGATGCGAGGCTGCTGTGCCTGAGGTCTGCCTGCAGGCTCTTCTTTCTCCCTAGTGCACAAAGAAAGAGAGAGGAGAAAAAACAAAAACCAGCAAAACTCTGGTGGATGATCCAGACCCAGACTTTTCCTTGATTGCTCTTAAAGATTTTTTAAAGGTATATTTCCTTTTATATGGAAATTATTGACAATTCAGAGAAGATGCATGAAGATTTCTATCGAGTTTGCCATGCAGGTTGCCAAAGTGTACAGAAATAAGGGTATTACTGGTTTCTGTAGTACATAGCACAGATACATGCTGCTGCTGCACAGATCACCAGAACATGAGAAAGACTGTGTACACGTCTTCTGTAGGGCTGTAAGGAATGAAGAAGTGAATCTGTAGAGTTAAGCTGCAGTGTTGTTCCTGTATAGGGATCTGTATATGGTAAGCAGTATTATTCAGTGATGGTCCTTCCTCTTCTGCCCTCTGGGACAGCTGCATTCTTTTAGCAGCTCTTCACTGCCACAATAGAGACAAACCTTATAAAACTGCAAATACTCCCTGCAGATGTTGCCTGATTTCAGCAGTGCTGGTCCGTGGGGAAATGTTGTCATTCTGTTAAATCGAAGGCATACACATCTAAGGATCAGCAACCCCTCTAGTGACTGGCCAAATGCCCTGATACATTTTTATTGATGTTTCCAGGGTTGCACTGAAAGAATCTGTTTTGTAATTTGTTTCTGAAGTTATTCTGAGATCCTATAGCCTTAGGTGAGCAAGGCAGCGTCCACACAGAGTCATAGAATTGTTGTGGTTGGAAAAGAGCTTTAAGATCGAGTCCAATCGTTAACTCAATGCTGCCTAGTCTCCCACTAAACTATATCCCTGAGTGCCACATGTACCTGTCTTTTAAAAACCTCCAGGGCTGGTGACTCCACTCCTTGCAGAGGGGACACTTGATCACTCATCCAGATCATCAGTAAAGATATTAAATAGGTCCCAATACTGAACCTGGGGAACACCACAAAACCTGGGGACCAGATACCAATTGGGTTTAACTCCATTAACTCCATTTAACTCCAATTGGATTTAACCACCACTCTTTGGGCTCAGCCATCCAGACAGATTTTACCAAGTGAAGAGTAAGAACTGTCTGGAGTGAAAGACTTGAGTTAAAATGGGGTATCTGTAGAAGCTTTTGGTATTTGTGGATGCCAACACTTATGCCATAATCCCCCATTCTTTGCATGAAATCATTGTTTAATTGGAGTTAAATCTCAACTGACAGACTGTGTCCTGACAGACTGTCCAGACTGCATATTTGAGGATTAGTCCTATCCTTGCACAGATTCTTTTCTTATTTTTTTTTTCCATTGAAGTTACTTGTGACTTGCGGGGTGGGAATCTCTCTCCATGTTTTGTGTTTGGCAGAGGGTTGTCTGGGTGGGGTGGGCACAGCACACTAGCAGAGGTGTTTTCTGTAGCCTGCAGGCAGCTGCAGTGCTAATGGTGCTGCTCAGCTGTGACTAAGTGACTGCGGCTTGCAGCAGAGACTTCAAACAGTTATTTGAGAAGAGCTGAGCCAAAGGACACACTTCAGGAGGGGAGGGCTTGGGGGGCAGCTTGGAAGTAGTTATGTACCCCCTTCCTTCATATGAGGTAAATCCCATGTTTGAAAGAGAAGACTTAAATCAAGAGAGAAATCAAGCCACCTCTGACAGAGCCCTTTCTTGTTCCCTGCAGCAGATGCCCTGTGAAAGTTGGCTTTCCCCGGGGCTCTGCCAGCATCTTCTGTTGGTGGTTCCTTCTCACTCAGCATGTCAAGCTGATGCCTTAGATCTGTGCAAAAGTCCAAGGCCCTGCAAAACATAGCTCCTTGCTGAAACCTTTTGTTCAGGAAAAAATAAATCAGTCCCTCAAGCTCCCCATTTGCGGTATTTGGAGTTTGCCCTTTGCTGTGTGAGTGTCTGTACTGCTAAGTGCCCTGGGCTGTTGTTGCTGGAGGCCGTGCTGCACAGTGTACTGAGGCTTACTGCTCTTCTCTTCCCACAGGCAGCCGTTTTGATTGGTTTGGATTTCTGGAGCCTGGGGCTGCCAGCACTCCTAGTCCCACAGGCACTTCACTTGTTAGATACCAGTTAGCTGAATCTTTGTTCATTATCTCCTTTTCTTGCAGGCTGTGAATTTTTTAAGGACTACAAAGACCGGGATTATACAGCTGAAGGTCTCATATTTAACTGGAAACAGGTACATGGATGTTATGAAATGGAGAGCTGTGTGTTTTACTGGGTTTAAGTCTTGCCTCCCAGTTCCTCGGTGATGGCCTGTATGTCATGTGCCTATTTCTAATCACAGGGAGGAAATCAACAGGACAAACGTGACAGATATGGAATGTACTAAATTATTGACTGTAAAATTCATATATAAAATAAATGAATCATTATCCTGAAGTCTAGGATGCTTGACCTCTCAGGGAAGGTATGGGTTGCTCCCAGTTTTGAATTCTGACGTTATTGATAGCCTTGGTTCTCAGTTTTTTCTTCATATTTTGTCTCCTGCTGAGAGGATGGTTGAGTGGGGCAGTCTTACAGAAATTCAGAGACTAATATGCCCAGCTTTCACTGTTGGGAGCACGTAAAAGCTCCTCTGGTCCATTAGTCCTTCCAAGAGTCTGAGTTTATTCTTACGTCTTCCGGATTTTGCATCCAAAGATGCTTTGCTGAGATGTTTTCTTCTCGTGCACCATTTGGCATTTGTTGTCTTGTTGGTTTTTTTTTTGGAACTCAGTCCTTTTGAGTCATGACTTTTCTCTGACCAACTGTGTTTGGGTTTTTTACAGGACTATGTAGATGCTCCATTAAGTATCCCAGTCTCTCTGACCCAATCTCTGAATATTGATTGGAGCGAGTACCAGGTGAGCAAGGTGGATGTCTCTGTGGGAGGTCAGGGATGTATTCAGGAAGGATCAGGAGAGGTTTGAAATCTGACTTGCTCCTATTGCTGTAATCTGGCTCACTTCATAGCATCCCAGTGGGGGCAAGGCTGCTTGACAGTTCAGAACAGCAGTGGAAATCCTGTACCCAAAAGCTCTGTGGCTTGCTGTGCCCCAAGGCAGCTGACTGTAAAGGCAAACCTTTTTCTGTACCTTTCAAAAATTTGCAATCCATTAGGGAGATAGGTTGCTAACAAAGGTAAGGAACAAGACAGGAAACAGAAAGCAGTATTACCTGTTCTCAGTCTCAGCTTGACATGGGCCTGCCCTGGGCAGACTGCCTTGGCTGTGGGAAGTCATAAGAGAGGTCAAACTTCTCCTCTGTGGGCAGAGCCAAGGGACTGGGCACCTTCTTCATGGGTATGCAAGGTGCCTTCCTATGGGAGAAGATCGGATAATCATAACTGGCCGTGGCAAGTCTCCACTCCTTACTGCGGACAGCATGGCAAACAGTAATTGAACTCCTCTGTTTGCTCAGGCTTCAAAGTCTACCTTAGTTCGCAACAGGGAGTATCACCTTATACTACTGATTAGTATGCTCAATTTCACACATCAGTGGATCTACCAGGTTTTGTGGGGAGTGACTGTGCTGGAGCATGTCACGTTATTGTGCCCTGTGGCTGGAAGCACCACAGAACCAGCAGAGCTCCCTGTGCTGGGCCAGTGTTTGTTGTCAGTGATGTAAATACTGTTTAAGTGCCAGCTTAAGCAGAATCACAGAAAAGTTGGAGCAGAACTAATAGAACTAGAGCTTGTGTATGGCTAGAAACTTGTTCACTAGAATACTGAGCAGCCAGTATTTTAAAAAGGATATTAAAAATTGAAGAGGGTGTAATAAATAGATGCAGAAATTATTTGAGGCCTGGAGAACATGCTTCACTCAAAACTGAAGTTCTCAGTCTGTTTAGCTAATCACTAAGGTGATTAATGTATAAGTACATTTTTAGGGAGAAAATAGTAATTCTAAAGCACTCTTCAATCTGGGGAAGAAGAGCTGCACAGGAAGCAGTATCTGCATCTGAAATCAAGGCTTCAGATAAGGAAAAGCAGTCTTGCATATTACTTTTGAGGATAATCTGCTGGAACATGCTGCCAAAGGAGTAATGAGCTGTCACCCCTCTTTGAGATGCTTCTCTGGGCAAAGATGTTGCCAAGTGCAAGCCTCAGGCTTTACGTGGGGCAACTGAAGAAAACTTCCTCATTCGTGATATAGAGATCAGACTGGATAATTGGATGATGCCTTCTAAAATAAGCAGAAGATGGATTGGGCAGATAAAAGATTTTGTAATTATGTGTTTTTCTGCTGCAGGCTGACTGTGTTCCCCGTTTCCCTAAAGTTTTGTGGCTCTGCAGGCTTCATGGCTGAGCAATATGCTCTTTGTCTTCACTAGTCTTCAGTGTGGTTACACACAGATTTGCACACATGCAGGCACACGGCAAGGGTTCTGTTGCTTGTGGTCACATGTCACTTGAACCACTAACACTTCTGCCATGAAATGTGTCCCACTCTGCTTTTTCCTTGCCAGTGCTATCTTATTTCCCTTGAGCTAGTCCTGATTCTGATCAAACCACTGAAATTCCCTGCATCTGCTCATGATGTGATGGTCAAGTGACAAGCTTGGGCTTGTTCTGATGTTCTTCACCTGTATGTCCTGTAGTACTGGAGTTCTCTTGAGTTCAGAGCCCTTCTGTAGTTCTGCTGCTACTTGGGGGTTACTGAGGAAGTCCAGTGCCTGTCTGGAGGGTGGGTGAGGGTCAGCAGCCAGCTGGGGACATTTTCAAGGACCACAGAGTTTTGAGCAAAGTGCTTGGGTTGTGGGAGCAGGCTGCTGGCCTTGGCCTGCACATCCCATCGTGCTGCTGGCTTTGCACACATGGCTGGAATGTGGATCAGCCGCTTGGAAAAGTGCACGTGTGCAGAACTGGGTCAGTGCTCTGCAGGTGTTTGCTGCCTCTCTGAGCATGGGCTGCTTGCAGCTTTGGGCTGCAGGCAAAGCAGCTCCTCTGCCAGCCAGGAAGACAGTAGAGATGGCCTTTTATTGTTTTATTTGCCTACCTGTTACCTTGTCCCAGAGTGCCTTTTGTAGAGGATGGGGGATTGATACAAAGGGGAAGTCTGTCACTTTGAGGAATGGCCATGTGGTTATTTCTGCTTTGCTGCTGTTCTGGACAGAGCAGCTCTGACCTGCAGAGCAGCCTTTGGCTGTGGGCAGACCCTTACCATCAACATTCCTCTTTCTGCAGAGCTGGGACCTCATACAGCAGACACAGAACTACCTGAAGCTGCTGATCTCCATTATCAATAGTGATGGTAAGACAAACTCCTTGCTCCCAGCAGTGTAACTGGAGCAGTCACTGTCCCTGGAAGAACAGCTGATGGTTTTAGTGCCACTGTGGATCAACTCCCAGTACAGAAGTCACTTTTAATTCTTTCCCTTCCAAACAGGGTGATGGTCCTGCCATCTCAGAACTCCAGCTCCCCTCTTGGAGAGGGACTTGCTGACTCCTTGAAAACCCTTTCTTCCCGAATATGAAGGGATATCTGAAAACTTAGCCTATTGTTTTACTACTTTAAACCTGAAGAGAAGGAACATTGTGTCTTTGCTTTTTGACCCTTGCTCTTGTTTTGCTGGTTACCTGTATTTTGTCTCGCCAACACAGCATCTCATTTGGTGCCTGTTTAAGAGCCCCTTCCACCCCCTTTCACCATGGACACTCCAACTCTTTGAAGGGTGTCTCTTGCCCTCTGTGGCTTCCCATTCCCTCTGGGCACTGTGACCTAGCACTGATGGATGGAGCCATGGCTGGCTTTGACAGCATGGCCATCTTTACTCTCCTGCAGTAGCTGTGTTGGGACACACTGCAGGTTTTCTGTAGGGTGTAGGATTTGTGCCTTGTGTGTGCCTCTGCTCAGTGTGCAGGTTACTGTGTTCAATAGGAAGGTTAGTGAGACTGAAAAAAATGTTCAGTTGAAGCTGTTTTCTCACCAGTGTAGGAATAGATTGTGATAGTGGGTTTACAGCTAGGTAGGTGTATGTTCAGGGTAGTAATGTTCATACCTAATGACTCTGTGTCCTGAGAAGCTGTCAGGATCAGGAGAACACATCAGCTGGTGCTGCTGACAGCCCAGGACACTGAGCAATTGGTTGACTGCTTTATTTAAGACAGAATGTTCTGGCTGAGCTCTGCTCTTGAGCCTGGTCTGTGGGTACAGAGAGTAGCCTGTCTATGCAGATTTTCCATGAAGAAATCATTACTTTCATTGCAACATCCTTTTTTTTCCTTCTCCTTCCTGCCCCTGGAACAGATGACAGTGGGCTCCTGGTGCACTGTATATCCGGCTGGGATCGAACGCCTCTCTTCATCTCCTTACTGCGCCTCTCCTTATGGGCTGTGAGTACCTGGCTGACCTCCTCTGTTTCTGGGGCTGATTGCTTGGAGGGTGAGTGACTGTCACCAGGCAGTGGTGGTGGAGCTGTTAATGTTCCTAATGTTCCTTTGGACACGCTGTCACAGGCAGGTGGAGGAAGATGGGCACCCTGGATCACCGTGACAGTTTTCAGCAGATCATGAATTCCCAAGTTCTAGTGCCCAGGGCTGCTGCCTGAAGACTTTGTTTGCTTTGCAGGATGGGCTGATCCACACGTCCCTGGAGCCATCTGAGATTCTCTACCTGACAGTGGCCTATGACTGGTTTCTCTTTGGGTAGGCATGATAAGTTTTACTCACATGTGCGTCCCTGTGCAACAGGGAAGAAGCCTTGAGGGGTCATTTTGATGTTTGTTCACAGCCAAAGGTTGATTTTTGAGCAGGTCCCAATGAGCTAGACCTGAGGGCTCAGGCATCTGGCTGTTCTTGACAGCTTGTACTGTTCTGCTGATTCTGGTGTGTGACTGAGCTTCCCTTGCTCTCTTTCCAGGCACATGTTAGTCGATCGACTCAGTAAAGGAGAAGAGGTGAGTGTTGGTCTGGGGCAGTGGCTGAGCACTGCTTTGTGTTCTCAGGATATCTGTTTATGGTAGCAGCATTCACTGCCTGCTCCTGGTTGTATCAGTGGTGGCTGGGCTCTAAAAAGATTGTTCAGATGCTGGAAATATGAGGTAAGAGCCTTGCCCTGTCACTTTGTGATGCATAATTTGTGGGATTACTTCTCTCTCAGGCTACAGTTTTGTTGGGGGGTGTCACTCCTGCCAGTTTCTCTCCTGTGCCATTAGTATTCAGGCCCCCACATCAGGGGGTGCTAGGACTTGCTGTTCAGCTCAGCAGTGAGAAGGATGCTTAAGGTGTGTGACTCCTTGAAAATAAAGCTGGATAGTCTTGTGATAAAGCTGGATAGGCACTTGTGAGCTTGTCCCGAGTGCCAGCCCTCCTGCCTGGGTGCTGCAGCTGCATGTGGCTTGCATGTCATCACAGGCTCATGGAGCAGCTTGTGCTGGTTCCAGTGTGTGAGTTTGGTGGGATGTGTCTGTGGGTGCACATATGGGTCTAGGGGACGCTTAAAATTAGGGGAAGTAATTATCTTCAAAATCTTTCACTATTGAACAAGAAGAGAAGTTTGCTCTGACTATAGTTGCAGTATAATGCACTATAATTTCTGAATAGAAAAGAGGTGGGTTCTGTGTCTAACCCCGTTGCTATTCCCTTGCTTCTCGAACTCTCACCTTACTGAGGAATCATCTGCCTTCAAACAGCAGACACACGACCCTGGCCTATTTTCCGTCTTTCAGGGGTGCAGAATCCCCTGAAAGATTAAGTATCATTCCTCCTATTCATTCCTTTCCTGGAGTTCTACTGGCTCAAGCCTGAGAGCTCTGCTCTGGTGCCTGCTTGGTCATGGGTGGAGTCAGTAGCTGCAGCAGGAGAGAGGGTGCCTGGCTGCACCCTGCTCCCCACTTGTCCCAGGAGAAGGGCACAGCTCTGCACGGGTGGGTGAGGTGGCAGAGGCACAGTGGGGTGAGTGATGCAGAGCAGACTGGAGTGTGGCAGGGCACGAGTTTGGGCCACAAGTGCTGTAGGTACCTCATGCTTCCAGATGTGTGGTACTGGTCTGCTGCTGAGGTGGAGCGTGTGGCTCTAACCGTGCAAGTCCTGCTGGGTTTGCTGCTTACCTGGGTGTATAAGCAGCTGCTGCCATCGCTGTTCCATTCTGCACTGATGGCATAAGTACCTGCTGTGGGCTTGCAGCATGTGTGCAAGGCATTGATAAGGAGACTTCTTGTTCCCCTTCCTTTCTGGGCCTCCCCGTGGCAGGGAGCAGAGGGGCAGTTTACATGGAAGAGAAGACCCAGGATGTGATGGTGGCAGCCTGTGGCACACTGGAGGCTGGTAGCTGCAGATTTTTTGCTATCTCCTTCCTGCCAGCACCTCCTCATCAAGATAAGAGGCTGCATGGAGCCTCGGGTTCATTCCTGAACCGCTCTTCTCTTTCCCTTTGCTCAGATTTTCTTTTTCTGCTTCAATTTTCTGAAGCACATCACCTCTGAGGAGTTCTCTGCTCTGAAGTCACAGAGGTAAGGAGCCTGTGCTTGCTGCTGCATGGGCTACAGAGCCAGGGAGCTTGTTAGTGCTGCTTCTTTGGGGAGATGGAAGCCCTGGTGTCCTGGCCCAGATTTCTTTAATTTATTCTGCACTCTGAAGGCTGCAAAACGGGGCCGAGGCTTGTGAGATGCCACGTTGTGCTCTGAAAAACTGTCCATGCTAAAATGTGCTCTCTGCTTAATGACTGTCCGTGGCTGCTTTAGCACAGATGAGCCCAGAGATGTGTGCTCTGGCTCAAGCAGGCTGCACAGCAAGCTCCATCAGGCATTGGTGGGCACAGAGGGGTGGCTGGTTTGTAATGGACTGCCCAGCATAAAACCTTCTTATTTCAGGAGGGACAGAAAGAAGCAAAGCCCACCCTGGATGCTCTGAATAAACACATCATGTGCAGTGTTGCCTGTTGCCACCTTCTCAAAGCATAGGGAGTTGGGGTTGGGACTGTTAGGAGTCAGACAGTGCACACTGGCCCATCCTCTCCCCTCTGCCCCTGCACAGCTAATTCCCCACTACTCTCATCTGCTCTGTGTGACAGAGACCTGGCTATGGCCAGCCTGCTCTAAGTCTGCCTGAGGTAACTTTGTCTTTCCTTTCCCAGAAGGAAGAGTTTGCCACCTGGCTTCACCCTGGAAGAGATCTGCATGCTCAGTGAGTGTCAAGCATCGGTGCCCCTGGGTGCTGCTAATGGTTCATTGCTTATGGGCTTGGATTCCCAGCTTCAGGATGACCCCAAATGGGTGTGCTGCCTGTGGAGCCTTGCAAGAATACAGGGCACGGGGAAGTGTATTGCTTAAAGGAGAGAAAGTGAGTGAAACCAAGCTGGGCTTCAGGTAGCTCTGTTTTCTTCTCTCTAGAGCAGAAAGACCGAGGCAGCACCACAAGCCTGAGCAGTGACTTCTCCCTGGGGATGGAAAGTTCCCCTGGAGCAGCTGGGAGCTTTACCTATGAAGCAGTGGAGCTGATGCCAGCAGGAGCACAGGCTCAAGCAGCATGGTGAGGAGAAAACCACTTGGTGAGCTGAACAAAGGGGCTGGCTCTGGGCCTGACAGAAAAAATATTTCTGAAGTGTCTTGCCCTCCAGGTTTGCTCTCTGTAGCATGGATGCCTTACAGTGGGGGAAGGAATTTGGCTGTCAGAAGCTTTGCTGTAATTTGTACTCCAGAGCTTCTGCATCAAAAGTTGGAGGCCTCCCCACATTAAAAGGCTGTCAGAGTTCTGCAGGGATGCTCCAAAGTTAGTACATAGATGAGAGTAAAGCACATTTGTTTCATTTTCACCAGTTTCACTGTTAAACTTCATCCACAAAGGATTTCATTACTTTTAAAAGATTGTTCCAAACTACCAGAAAAATTACATTTCACAGCAGCCTCCCCAGGGAAAAGTGGAGATGGTTTAGCTGCCCTAAAATGAAGCTTAATCAGAGTTTAGGAAAGACATTATACACAGGGAGTGTCTGCAGTTAGTGGGAGCTGGGCTGGGTGGCCAAGAATTCCCTACCTAAATTTTAGCCCCTCTACCAGCATGAGGCATGTGAGCTGAAAGCAGGTTCCTGTCTGCAGCACTGCTTAGAGCCTGCTTATTTCCAGGGGAGAATTCAGTACTGCCTCTTGGTAGAGGGTCACATAGGACTTGCCTGGGGATGCAGGTGGCTGTCTGGAAGAGGGGAAGGTGTCTGGCAACTCTGCTGGTCTGGGACAGGTTTTGGACTTGATTGTGGAGTTTCTGGTGCTGTTTGGGGATTTCAGAGCCTTGCTGTAGGGTTGCCCCTCTCAGTTTAATTTTTCTCTCCTTTCCTTCAGCTCATATGAAGATGCTATTTTATATTGCAATTATTTTAAATTAAATCTGGGTTGTGCTGGAGGCATTTGAAGTCCTCGGGGACTGAGCTTGTAGCCATGCTAGTGGCAGCAGCCTTTCTAAAGCACATTGTATATTCAATCTAAAGTGCTGAGAAGGGAAAGGAGAATATCCCTGCAGAATCACAAAATGGAGATGGAGCATCCCAAACTCTTTGCCAAGTGAGCAACACGGAGTCCTCTTAACACACAGAGCCTGCCTATCCACATCAAAGTGACTGCATCAAGTAGGCAGCAGCTTTCCACTTGCAGGGCTGCAGGGTAGTGAACTGGAAGCATTTTTGTTGCTCCGAGTGCTCAGGACATACAGACTCGATTCTGCTGCACAGAACCTGTGTGTGCTTTTTGCAAGATGTGAAGTGACCAGAGCATGCTGGAGGAGATAGCTGCACATGTGTGGATCAGGGCTCGATTTTGCAATGTGCTTCCTAACTCTGGGTTGCTTTTATTTCTGTGGGAGACCTCGGGCTGTGTTGGGGCCAGCAGCTGCTCTGCATGGATGGTTTGGGCCATGCTGGGGGGCATGAGCTTGGGAAAGGGGAAGGTTGTGAGCCTTGCCATGAGTGCTCAGTGAGAAGACTGGTCATGGGTGTTTTACTGCAGGCTGTTGTGGCTCTGTGGTCTGGAGAATACATAGGGCTTGCTACAAGCTGGATGAGCTGTGCTGTGCATAGCATGAGGAGATGTACTTTGTTCTGTTGCCCTGAAAACAGGTAGCCTCACAGTCTCTGTGCAGGGAGAGGCATTTGATTTTTAGCTGTTCAGACCTGTTTCTGCAGGCTGTACTTGGAGATGTTGGCAGCTATGATAACATGAGATGAATAAAGCTTAAGAGAGGCTGTGGTGTGATGTTTGAGGGTGGACACCCTTCAAGAAATGAAGGGAGGATATCGCACTTTCCACTGTACAATGAGCCTGTCTTTAGCTGCACTTGCTGGCAGTGCTTGAGATCTCAAAGCTGAGATGCCCTTCCATGTTTTAGGAAGAGTAACATCTTTTCCCCTAGAGTTTGTTTGCTTTAGAATTTTTCTTTTTTACTTTTGTACATAGGGAGTATTTGTCCAATTCAGCATGGTCTTGGAAGGGGAGAAATTCTTGGGACTCTTCCAGGGAAAACACAAAACCAAACAACTGACATAAGCAGGAAAATCTTCTGAACGTGGAGCAGCAGTGATATGAATTAATCCCAGATGTGTATTTGTTTGGCATGTAGTTGGATGGTACTGTGAGCTAAGGCCTGATGCAGCAATGGACAGTGAATCATTAATCTGAAAGTGCTGGCTAGGAAAGAAGCCAGAGCAGTTTGGGCTGTCAGCATAGACAGAGAACTGAAGTGTACCTACATCTGGAGTGACTGTCAGCTGTAAGCACATGGTCAGAAGTGTGGTCAGTGGTGCCCAAAGGGAATTGCTAAAAGGGAAAATAACACTGGTGGTGTGTCCGTGTCACCCTCGGTGCGCATGAACGCCCACCTGGGCTGATGCGCACTGTGGAGTTCAAGCAGATTGAAATGGTCTTTCCCCACTGGGAGGCCCCTTGCTCAAGGCATTTTTGCTGCTAGACTAAACAAAGCAATCGCTCTGTGTGTGTGGGCTGATGCATTCTCCCGTCTCTGATTTCCAGGTCACGTGGATGGTGATCTATAAAAGAATGGGCTAAGATGGGTTGAGCTCAGTGTACCCCCTCCCTGAGCTTTTACTGTGACTCATGGTTCCTTGGGAGGGAGGAAGGCGGGTTCATTGGAAACAAGAGCTTGTAGCTGCTGGGATAAACTCCAGCTTGTGGTGGAAAGGCTTCCTAGTTGGAGTACATAGAAAAGTCAGTTTTCTCACCCACGTCCTCTATCCCTCAGGAGGAAGAGCTGTGCATCGTCACCACAAGCCGTGCTCTGGAGCAGAGCACAGCAGTCTGAAGACAGGCTGCCTTCCACAGGGATGGTTGAAGTCAAGTCCTCCAGCTCCTCCTCATCAACCCATTCTGATAACTTCCTGAGGATTGGAAGCAGCCCACTAGAAGTGCCCAGATCCAGGTGAGATGGGACGAAGCAGGGCATTTCTCAGCAAAATGAGTGTCTGGTAAAGGGACCTCAGGGCTGCACTTGTGTGGCTCTGGAAACACTGGAGCACCTGTGTTTGTTAAGAACAGACCTCAAAAGGCCTGTTCCTCTCTAGTCTGACCTTGTCTGGAGTGCTGGCCATTAAACACAGACACTCCTGCCTGAGCCCCTAGAGGAGCAAGGAACTGTGCTGATAACAGCCAGCTGTCGTATGCCTGTCCTCAGCGCATGTCTCAACTCTGAGCTCTGGCATCTCTGCATCCTGCATGCTTGCAGCTCACAGCACTTTCTCTGTCTAACACATCCACCAGGGTTTGAAATGGCTGTGGTGTTTGGGGACGGAAGCTTTTCAAACCAAGCAGACCTCACTCTGCATCTGTCCTCTCCCCCTTTTCGCCTGCTGACCCTCCTGATGACGCAGGTTGGAAAAAACTGGGTGCTGGTGGCAAGCAGAGGTAGGAATCTGCTGGGAGCAAGCTGTGAGCACTGTGCCAGCACAAAGGATTCTGCCCTGAAGGCTGAGTGTTCCTGCTGGGGAATGGGGACCTTGGACTTGAGCCTAATCTCACACCATAACCAAGGCACCCTTCTGGAGTCTGACACTGCGATAGGGCAGCGTTGAGCCATGAGCTGGCCCAGGGAAGAAAGAACAGAGCCTGTGGAGCAAACACCATGTGTTTAGGCCAACATGGAATAAAGAGACTCTGAGATAAGAGGTTGCTGTTAACAGCATCAAATGCTTGTGTAGCCTCTGTAGGTTTTCTGATGAGTCTTTTGTAGTGATTCTGAATCAGCCACCAGCCAAATCAGAGTACTCTCTCATCATATGGAAAATAAAATGACAAACAAGCATTGAAAATTTATAAGACTTTCTTAACAAGTGTCTCACGTTTCCAGAATAAAACCCCAGTGTCTGACAGTTTTCATTAATGAGGGTAACTGTTCTCCCCAGGGAAAGATATCAATAGGAGGGGTTTGAATTGTTGCTGGGGCCCACCTCTGCATTTTCTGTAAGATGGAAAGAATCTCCCGAGAAGAGAAGAAAATATTGGAAAGAAAACAGCTTGTCTTGGAAGCTGCTTTCTTCACAATGGTAGTGCCACAATTCCTGTGTGTGGTCCCATGCCATTCCCAAGGTCTGACAGGCTGTTCAGTGCTTGCTAGTAGTGCTCAGGAAGAAGCAGTTTGTAATGCTTCAGCCAGACTGCTCTGCAAGAGCAAAGAGGAGAAACAGGAGTAGGTGGAAGAGCACCATGGTGAGGGTTAGGGTTGCCTTATCAGACACTGTCATGGGTTGCAGTTTCTGAGTTCTAAGCATGGTATGTTTTCTCCTGAAAGAGGTTCTGTCATTCCACTTGGCCTTTGGTTTCCCTGCTTCAACTGTGGTAGTCTGAATTGGTCTGGTAGATAACACAGTACCTGCAGCCACCATTTTCTACCCTGAAGGAAACAATGGGTCCCATTTTGGGTGGAGGACTGTGACAGAAAGAAGAGGTAAATTCTGTCTCTTTACCTCCTGAAAAATTGTGGTACTAAGATGGAAAAGCAGGAGCACAGAGACTGATCAGGATGCCAAAAATACCTTTATTCCTGCAGTGCTGCTGGCAGGTCAACACCCAAGGCTCTTGAGATGAAGAAACCACTACACTTGACTTCCTAATCCTCTGCGTGGCCATAGCAACAAAACACTTTCCTCAACTTCTGCTGCAGTGGTTAAAATGGTTGCTTGTAAAATGCTAGCAGGTATCCTTCAGGTAGTTCAGGTCAACAGCCCAGTCCAGGTGCTGGCAGGCAGGGGAGCTCTGGAGGGAACAAAAACGCAAGTCAGCAGGAGACATGAGCAGGGCCTGGGAGGGGGGAACTGGACTGCCATAAAAGAAGGGGTCACAAATGCCCAGTCAGGCATTAGGAGCCAAGCCCCTCTCCTGGCCAGGCAATGTCAACAGGCTGCTGCTGTCACATTACCAGCCCATCTTGTGAATCTTGCTCTGATCCAAGAGGTCCTGGGTAAATTCCAGGATGGTTCTTGTTAGACAAAGCAGTAGAAAGGCAATTCCTCTCAGTCTTTATAGCTTATTTCAACATGATGGTAAGATCACATCTGCAGAAGACAAACACCGAGGAAGATATTGCATAGACTATTTGCAGAGTAGGACAAGGTGCTGCTTGTTCTACAGACAGCTCTGAGTATGGCAGTCAATGTGCCTCAGATTGAACCCCTTGTATGCAATGGGGTTGCAGTTTGCAAACCTTTCCCTGTATTTGCATTTGACACCAGCAGTCTAAGCGTCTCATGACACTGCAGAAAAATTCTGTGTCAGGGATTTAGCATGTATCTACACAGCACTAATGTGGATTAGCAGCTGGATAATCTTTGGTTGAATGTGCTTTTGCTAAGTCAATTAAACAAAACCCAAAGTACTATGATCTAAAGAGTCAAGATCTGGAGGAGTTAAATTGCACAGGATCTGCTTTGACCAGCAGTCACAGAGAGCTCCCTTACTTAAGGGCTGCAGGTGGCTGAGCTGTGGGTCTGGAGGGAGCACAGTGAGAGCAGAGTGGAACAGAGAAGCTGCTGCCCCTTGGCTTTAGGTGTTTTGTTGGTAGTGAGAAGACTGTGTGTGCACTGTGTGTCTTGCTCCTTACAGCCACCTTGCTGAGAAGGTGTATATGCAGTGTGACAGCTTGGGGTAGTGACCACAGCAGGAGAGGAATTGTTTACAGGGATGTTTTCTGGAATTACTGCATGACCATGCCACAAAATGGGCTTGCCGGCTGGCACATGACTGTGTGCTGCAATCAGAAATGGTGCTCACAGAGAACAGGCTGCTTGGGCACTATCCCAGCCTGTAGATAACTGTCTGGGATTCAGCCAGGATTTACTGTGCTTGGCAGGGTGCCATACTCCTTGCCAGTATTTCCCACGCAAAGGTGGGAAGGGTTGCCCTTTACTGCAGGTTGCCACAGTCTGCCTGTACATACAGAACCTACTTAATGCTTCAGTTTGAGGCAAGAGCATATGCTGGCAAATGAGCTGCTTCCCAAATAGTCCTAGGTGTGTGGAAATACGTCAGGTGAGCAAGAGCAGCACAGGGCAGGATGGAGCCTAGCTGTTGGCACTTGGCAATCATCTCAGTTACATATTAAGAAAGGGAAGGATCCCTGACTGTTGCTCTGCCTCCAGTATTGACTCTTCTCTGGCAGGCAAGTGAGAGTCCATGTGCTCTGAAATACTGTCTTGTGCAGCATGTTGCATGGAAAGCACTGACCTAATTAAAAGGAACCATTCCAGGTTAGGAGCTGCCAGTTTATGGCCTGCGAGAGGTCCCTTCTTGTGTGAAGGAACAGCTTGCAGCTCATCTCTGTTTTGCTAATCTAATTTAGTTAATCTTGCACTTTTGAGGGAGTTTCTTCCCACTCGTGGACCTGAAGAGGTGGGTGTGTGAAGCTCACTTTGATTCTTTTTCTGTCTGCCATTAGATGTCTGTGGCAGAGACAGCAACTTGGAGACTGTCTCTATCTCATCTCCTCTAACCATGTCAGCTCTGCTGTTGTTGTCCGGCTGCTTCCCAAGACTCTGTGCTGCCCTGACTCCTAGCCAGCCTCTGGCATGGCTGTCATGTATTGCAGACATGCTGTTCTTAAAGACTTGGGAACTGATTCTGGTGTCCTGGCAGTTCCAGCTTGTTCCAAGGGCCTCACTGAAGCTCTTTTGCGGCTCTGCAGTAAGATTTTACAAGAAATATTCAGGGTAGAAATTACAGGAAGGCTTTCACCTCTGGCGCTGACTGGATTGCATTGGGGTGCAGTCACCCCAGACATCTAGTCTTGGTCTCAAGCCAAGCTCAACTTTTAAGAAGCTCTGCTGCCATTGCAGTGGGAACACAAAATTTCCCATGCTGTGTCTTCCCAGGCTTAGCCCCTGCTGTCTCTTGAGGTTGTTCAAGATGCTTATTGATTGTGACATTTCCTCAGGAGCTTCCCTTGAGAAGGCTTTGGGGATAGAGGGGGAGGTCTGCTCCAATATCTTACCTCTGCTGGGCAGGCTTAGATCTCTGGGCTAGGAAAGAAATTACTTAGACTTATTGCAGAGTCAATCAGTTTATTCAATGAATCGACAAGTGTTTGTTCTGCTGTCTGGAGGCAAGACAAAGAATTGACTGCCTTGAGCTCTTAGACCCCAGTGTTGTTGCATTAGATGAAACCTTACTACGTTTGCACAGCTGCTTGACAGGACTGGGGACCCCAGGAAGGACTGGAGGACTAAAGAGTCACCAAGTCAGTCTTGCAGGAGATACATTGTGCTTTTATCTGCCTGTCCATGGCAGAATTCAAAAGATTACTTGATCCACCTCTAAGAGGTGGTGTAAAATCAGTTTAAGCTTAGCTGACAACCATGGAAGGTGACCAGCAGCTGGAAGCCTGGGGCCACACACCCAAAGCAAAAAACAATTTTCTGTTCACCTTCTTTAGCACAGACTTATCTGACTGGTGTAGTTGATGATATTGGGCAGAGGGATATTTTTGCTGTCCCTGGTGCCCTGGATCATGGTTTGCCCTGTGGGCAGAGTTTCCTGAGTAGGCTCTGGATACTACTGTCCCTTTACAAGAGCTGCAGAACTCTGTTCTCTCTGGAGATCCTGCTGTAGTCCAGGCCCTCCTCTGCCATTCATGCTTGCCCTCTCCAAAGCCTTCGTTTCTATCTGGCCACAAACCCGTCCTCTGTTCAGCAGCTCATTACTTTTTCTGGCAGAATCCTGTCTCTGCCTACTTTCAGCCCAAGCCTATTGCCTACAGATCTCTTTACTCCTGCAGCTCAATTTTGTGTCACCATGTTGACACTCCTGTTTTTCCTTTCTGGCTGTGCTCTCAGGGAGGTGACATCTTCCTCTTCACTCTGCACTGAAACAGCATTCCTCCATGCTTCTCCCTGGCATCCTGCACTGTGATTCCATCATGGCACAGTGCTATGGGCCCAAACACTCTGCCTGTTCTCCTTCACACTGACTTCCTCCACTTTGTCTTCCAAAGGCATGGAGAGAAGTAGATGTCACTGAACAGCAGCTCCCCTTCCCTTACAAATTCCTTGCTTTCCAGGGAAAGTTATCTGTGTCTGATCTCCTGAAGGTGTTTCTAGCAGTATATGCTTTGCTTTTGCTTTCAGTGAAGTGCCCTCATTCTTACTTGGGCATTACGTACCCCAGGAAAAGCACCATTTTGCAATATAGGGTTCTCCCAATACTCTGGCCCTCACTCCTCAGTTCATTGAGAAGCCAGAGAAAAAGATCTGTGTGAGACAGATGAAGCTCTGCTCTCCCTGATTTCTGCTGTCATGTCCTTTCAGAGCTGAGCTGCCAGACAGGGCTATTATCCCCAAACTTGCAGCTATGATGGGAAGCTGATATGCAGGGAATTGTGTGATTCCCTTTCTGTGCTTTTACAGCCAGCTCAGGACATTTCACACTGCTCAAACTTGGCTTTATTGATCAGACTAATTAAATGGCAGGCTTGAAATTAGATCGAGATTGCAAATAGGTTTCCTGCTGTGCATCTCTTCCCACTCTTGCTTTCCAGTCTAGCTCAGGTCCTTCTTGCTGTGGGAGAGCCTGTCTTTGTGGCTGTTCTCTTGGTCCCTTGGGGAGCAGCTGCAGTGCGCCACTGCTATTCTTAGCTGTGAAGACAGCGTGCAAGTACCTGGCCCAGCAGAGCTGGAGCACTGCTCTCTGCCCAGCAGAACTCAGATAAATTATCCAGAAGATCTTGGTAGTGTGTAATTGAGCAGCTCTGCCACAGGCTGTGCTTCCAGCTATGTACACTCTGCTGTGCAGCAAGGCTTAATAATTGCTTGCTCCCTTGGAAGCCAAGAGCTCTGGGTTTTTCTCAAGTGATTGTGCCCTCTTCTCTGAGATTTTGGAGGGACTCCTCAGATTCACTTGCCCTGATTCATGCTTCTTTCTTTCCTGGTGGGAGATTGCCTACATCAAATAATTATCCTTCCTTGGCTATTTAGCCTACCCTGAAGATGTTTTGTCACCTGCTTTCTGGCACAGCCCTTTGTTTAATACAGAAGTGAAGAGATGTTCTGGTGCTGGGGGTAGGTGTCCTGGGTACGCCTTGAGCCCTGGCTCTGTTCAGGTCTGGTGGTAATGGCTCAGGAGTGATCTGCTTTCTAACTGCTGCCGGGACAATGATCTGTAAGTCTTTCCCAGCACTAACCAAGTCACAACCTTGATTTGCCCTACTGCCCTGGGATATGCTAACAGCTACAACAAGCAACAGGGGAATGTCCCTTGTACAGCACAGCTTTCACATCTGTGAAGGACTCAGGGCAGGATGTGCTGCTCCATCTCACTAATGGGTTTCTCAGTTCTGCATGGCCATCTGCTTCATGCTGGCTCTCTCCTGTCCAGCTCCTGGTGTGCTCCTGCTGCTTTGTTGGCCCCAGCCAGTTTGGCTCTCCCTTCACTTGCAAAGGAAAGGTTTGGTCTGGGGCCCAGCTCGAGCTGCATGTTGTGCCCTGGTCCCTGTGTGTCAACAGTGCTGGCACAGGCGCTGCTGGCCTCCCGCCCGCAGGTCCCTGGCAGCAGCAGTGAAATCTTGTGGCTGAATGATCTGACTGATCGCGCCGTCTCCCTCTCTCTCTGCCCCAGATCGGCCGACCATTCCCTGCCCGGATCTTCCGTTTCCACAGACTTTGGCAGCTGGCAGATGGTGACAGGGTGTGGCAGTATTCGGGAGCAGGCAATCCTGAACGCGGACGCCTCTCTCCCTTGCAGCTTCCCGGATGAGTTCTCTAACACTTGCCTGTAAGTGTCTTAAATGCAGGATCTCTCCTTGGGTCTCTTGGCTGCCTGCGAGCACTGCAACTTTATCACTCTGGCACTTTCGGAGAAGCCTGGGAGCCCATAACAAACTGTTCCACCGTCTCTGCCTCGATGTTTTCTATCCACAAACTCAGTCCCTGAGCGCTCTTTGCTTATGCTGAACACAGAAAAAAACCGGCACTTTCGCTGCCTAATGATGGGGGAGCTCTTTGCTTTCTGTAGGAAGAAGAGGTTTTTCTCTCTTCCTTGGAGATGCTGAATTTGGGCATAATTGAGTGCAGTTGAGGATTCATGTTTGACAGGACAGGTAACCCAGATTTCTTGCTTTTCGATTTTGCTCACCTACATCTCCCCACTGGTGTCAGATCCTTGCTGGAGTAAGAGAAGGACTTTCCATCTGTAACCCAAATTTTGTCTGGGCTTGTGCAGCATCATTTGCAGGTGCTGTGCCTGACCAGTGCAGAGCCACAGAGACCGTGTGTCCTGCCATATCCTGCCATGTGAAATGTCTGGGAGGCAAATGTTCCTCCCCAAATAGAAATCCACCTCTGGAAGCTTGAAAGACTTGAGATGCGCTTTAATTGCTGTTAGAGGAGAGCTTTGGTTTGTGCCTTCAGGCTGCAAACTCTTCATCAAGGAACTGAAATGGCAGATCAGGGGCTTCTGCTAGCAAGCAATGCTAGAGCTGTGCTGCCAGATGCTCAGTCCCTTACTGAGATCTGAGTACGTGCTTTGCAGGCAGAGGGCAAGCAACATGAAAACCCATGTGTCCTGTGAGATAGGCTGCCTGCCCTGGCTCTGCGTCTCGTGTGGCTGCGTGCTGTGCTGCTGAACAGAGCAGAGCAGCTGCCTTCAAATTACGGTGATGATCCATGAATTGACAGATCAAAACATTGCAAGAGATGTTGGACATGGCCTGGCCAGGATTTGTTCTTCTTTCCCGAGGACATGCTGAGCTGCTCCTGCAGTAGTTTGGAGTTGGGCAAGGGAAGAAGGGACTGAAGGATGGGCATCTGAATAGTGACTGCTTTACTGTGTCCTGAGCCTGGCTGTGCTTGGTCACTGCTGATCACCAGCAAGTTGTTGCTGCCCTTGGAGCTGGATCTAATGTCAGAATAGGGAATTCAGTAGAGAAACATGAATCAAAGTTGATAGGCCTTAGGCTTATGCAGTTTGGAGAGTGACTGCTTGGGGCAGTGGATTCAAAAGGAGGAGAACAGTGGTGGTGCTTCTCCTGTGGGTGCTCTGCCCTGTTCAGCTATTCACTAAAACTGAGGGTTGCTTGAGGGCTGGGGACTGCTCAACTGAAGGTGCTGGGACCAGGCACTGCATTGAAAGGATGAAGAGTTCCCAGCGGTGTTGTGTTGAGCTTAACCCAGAGCCTCTACCCTCTCTCTGTTCTCCATCAGCCTTGTTTGTTCAGGACTCCATTGTGGTTTTATCCCAGTTTTTGCAGCCCGACACAGTATGATTTTTTTTTTCTTTTAATTCCATTTAAGTTCCCACTTTGCATCTTCACTGGCAGCAGCTCGATGAAGGTATGCTTTTCACAGCCTACTTCTTGTGCTTGTGTGGGGCTTGTCAGGGCTTACTTTGAGCTGGGGCTTTGACAGCCTCCTCTCATCCCGCACCCCAAGCTGCAGGCAAGCGGGCAGGCTGTAGGAAGTGTAGCGGGGCAGAGTGCCGTGGATTTGGCAAGGAAGCGTGACCTGCCTCCGCGGTGAACAGTTCAGGGTGAAATGCTGCAGCCAGTCCGCAGGGCTTGGAGCAGTGGCTGGCTGCTTGACCCTGTGCCTTGGAGTGTCTCACTCCACAAAACAAACCGAAAAACCCAAATACAAAATCTGCCTTGTAAAGAGGTGTGAGAGCCACAAGACACGGGACCTAACTGCTGCACGCCCTCGCTTACCTCTGCGCGTGACATCTGAGCTCGCTGTACTCGAGTGCAAGTAAGTCCTGCCTTCACGGAGTTTATTTTAAATGCTAGCAGGTTTGCGAGTTCCACGTCCTAATTAGGTTGCCAAAAAGCATCGCTAATGTGTTTAGATATGTTGTTGCCTTTTTTTGCCCTCTGGCTTCTCTTTATTATCAGACACAGTAAACAGCGGCCTGGTTGGCTGCCTCGGCATCGCTTGCTGTTTATAGGCCTCCCACCATATCCTCTTGCTGCTGTTTCCGGACCGAAGCTGTTGGCTGTGGGTGGTTAACACTTCCATTCAAATGAGCTGTACCAATTTATAGCCAGCCCAGGCGCTGGAAGATTAAAGAGAATTTTTTATGGGGAAGGTTCGCACTGTGCCCTTGGAGTGACCTTTGAGGAATGTCTTAATCTCTCTGGGAACCACTGGCATGTCGCAGAGGCACCATAGCAAGGATCGTTTGAGGCTGGAGAGCTTGGAACAGCTGCCTCTGGGCCCCAGTCTTGCTTACCCCAGCTCCCTCAGCTAGTCTTGCCTTCCTTCTGCTGTTTTCCGCCTGCCCCTAACCAGGTGTGTGGATCAGCAGGAGAGGAGAGCAGGTCCCGTGGGAAGTCATGCCCTACTCTGCTCCTGTTTGCCAAGAGCAGCCATGCTGGGGAGCAGAAGTAAAGCGCTGCTCAGCTCTCCTCTTCCTATGGCTGGAGTGTTCCTTGGGGCTTTTGTCACCTTGTCTGCTCCTTCTCATCCCCCCTTCCACAGAGCTGTCTGTGCTGGCACAGGCACGCGAGGCTGGGGCCGGTGGAAGCGAGGGATGGTTGCAAATAGGTTGGAAGCAACGGCCCGGGCACAGCACATGTGGACAGGCTTCATCTATGTGAGGAGGGGAGAGAGCTGGCATAGGGACTGATGTCAGCAGCCACTTCACCGAAGCACCACTTTGTTTATGAACTGCAGCCTTACTATAGTGGTGGGAGAAACGGGGGACAGTGGGGTGTGTGAAGGAGGAAACCCCATGGGGAGCAGGAGCCTGAGGCTGCAGCTCGTTCTGTGGGTTGGATGAGGAGGCAGTGGCACCAGCTGCCACCAGTTCTGTGGACAGAGCCTTTTCAGGCTTGCACTGCCTTAGCCACTGCAGCCCGTTGAGCACCACAGCCCTGTGTCAGGAGTGAGAGCTGGGATGTGGAGAGGGATGGCTGCAGTCACTGACCTCCCCTTCTCTTTCCTAGACTGGTGTCAGCGAGTGACCGTGAGTCTCGTCTGGAGGAAGTGCGTTCTGCCTTTCTGGCAAGCTACAGCCGGACCATCGGCCTAAAGGCCGTGCCCCCCAGCCCCTCAGGGGCCATCGGTGGCCTCCTCGAGCAGTTTGTGCGGGGCGTGGGACTGAGAGGCAGCAGCACCCTCTGAACGCGGCGTTCCCAGACCACTGCCTGGAAAACTGGGGCTGGCGCGTCCCCCAGCAGAGTCCTGGGACCCTCTTCTTGGTGCGGGCACCTGCTGCACCCAGCGCCCGCCGCCAGCCCCCCCTGCCTGGGGCTGGGGGGTGCGGGGCCTTCGGCGAGTCTCTGCAGTAAATGACCCGAGCTGTGCCCTCTCCTGCCTCCTCTCTGGGCTGCGGGCGGGGGCTGCGGGGGCGGCGAGGGGGAGCCGCTCACTATAAATAGCCCGGCCCACTCTTCGCAAGCGTCGGCACCGAAATAACACCGAGCCGAGCCCGGGAGGAAGCGCCCGGCGGGGTGGGATTGGGGCTGAGCCCCCTGAGCCCCTGACTGGGAATTGCGGGCGGGACGTTCCGGTGGAGCCGAGCCCCAGGAGCCGAACCCCCTGGTGCCCGGGTTGGTGCCACCGCTGCCGGCAGGGAAGGGCCGTCGTGCTCGAGCTGTGCCGAGCCGTGCCCGTGCCGTACCCGCCCCCGGGCGCGCCTCCTCGGCGGCGCGGGAGGAGGCGGCGCGGAGCATCGGCGGCGCCCGGGCGGGGATGGCGGCTCCGGGAGCGCTGGAGCCGGCGGCCGGCAGCGTGCCGGGCACCAAGGTGGAGCTCACCGTGTCCTGCCGGTGAGCCGGGAGCCGGGCGAGGGAGCGGGAGGGCGGCGGCTTGTCCGTGGACGCGGGTGGGTGCGAAACGCACCGGGATGCGCTGCGGGGCTGCTCGCTGCGTCCCGCTGCCCGCCGCTCAGCCCCTGGCTCGAGGCGTTGTGAGCTGCGCGTCCTCCTCTCTCCCCGGATAGCTCTCGGTGCCAGGGCGTATGCCCAGCGTCCCTCTGCCCTGCTGCTACCCGTCCCGTCTCTTTCCTGGGGTCCCATGGGATGCTGTTACCGGGCACGGCTGCGAGAAGCGACCCGCTGCCCTCACCCGCGGTTGGGGCGCGGGGCGATGCTTGTGGGCGGTGGGTGATGCTGGCGGGACGCGGGGTGCCGGCGCTGGCTGCGAGCTCGGTGCAAGGCAACGGGACCGGGAACGTGGCAGCGTGATGTGGGCTGCAGGAGAGGGGCTGCTCTGTGCCCCAGCTTCTGGCCAGGGTCCGCCGATCAAGCGGCGGCGGCTGAGCCGGTCTGCCGGCGGCTAAATATAGCCCGTCGGAGGCACTGCTGCTTGCGGCCGGGGGTCCCGCTCGCAGGGACAGGCACCAGCGTCCTGCTGAGGGGTAGCGTCCCCGTGCCGTGGGTCCTGTGGCACGGAGCGCCCCGACCAGGGTGGGTGCCTCCAGCACATCCCCAAGCTATGCAAACTCCGGGCCGGGCTGGGGGCTGTTGTGCCCTCCCTGCGGCTGAGCCCTGGCCCCCGCTGCCAGCTTCCCTCACAGCAGACAGAGGGACTCTGGGTCCACGGGACCGGGCAGCTCCAGGTAGGATCCGGGGATCACACATGGAGACAACCCAGAGCAGCCTTTGGCTTCGCAGCCCGAGGACCCAGCCCAGAGCAGGGTGGGGTCTCTCCCCTGCGTGCCGGGGCCAGGGGAGCTGGCTTAGCCCCGCAGCCCCCGGCCGTGCCCCAGCCCACCCTGTGCTGCCACCCCGGGGGTGCGGGAAGTATCCCAGCAGAGCCGGTAGCATCCCCCGGCACTTCCCGGTGTCACACCGCGCACAGGACGACGATCAATCGCTCTGCCGGTAGGTGTGTCGGGGGATGCCCACTGGCTGCTCAGCCCCTGCTCCAAGTGTCTCCTTTCTTCTCACTTCTGCACCCTGCCATTAGCCAAGCTCCTGCTGCCGGGGCGCGGCGGGCACTCAGCCGGCGCCGGCGGCACCGGGGAAGGTTTCATCCTGTAAGTGGGTTCCCTGTCATGTTCAATCATCATCAGCGCTGGAGACGCTGCTCGCCGCTTGCTCTGCTGCCCCACCGAACCTTGCAGAGGGAGCCACTGTGTCTCCTTGGGAGTGCCGATGCTCTTATCCATGGGTGCCAGCACGGCCTTCTGGCGTGGTGCTGACCTGTGATCAGGGGGATGGACATGGGGACCCGTTGCTGGGCCAGGTGGATGGCGCTCAGGTTGGCTCACGCCTGGCTCTTCCCCCAGGAACCTGCTGGACATGGACACCTTCTCCAAGTCCGACCCAGGTGGGTGGCAGAGCCGGGCAGGGGGCATGGCATAGCACAGACACGGCACGGCAGCCTGGCTCTGCTCCTCTCTCCGCAGTGGTGGTCCTCTTTGTGCAGGTCTCGGGGAGCAGCGAGTGGAAGGAGGTGAGCGTGGCCCCCTCTCCTGGCTAATCCCCGGCTGGGTTAAATGGGCCCATATGGCCACCCGTGTCCACGCTAATGATCCGGCCCCGCCAGCAGCGCTAATCCCCCACCGGGATTAGCGCCGAGGCAGCTGCGATGGGGACGGGTCCTGGGGGGGGCCACCCTCACCCCTCTCCCTGCAGTTCGGACGCACCGAGGTGATCGACAACACCCTGAACCCCGACTTTGTCCGCAAGTTTGTCCTCGACTACTACTTCGAGGAGAAGCAAAACCTCCGCTTCGATGTGTGAGTAGGGTGGCCGGGGAAGGGCTCGGCCCCGCTGAGGGCGGAACAAAGCACCGAGTCGGTAATAAATAAGGATAATAGATAAGAATACAGTGTCGAATAGGACGGATGGGTGGGGAAGCGGGGTTGTGTGCTGGAGCATCCCTGCAGGCACCAGCTCAGGGCTCTGCTCTCCCACATCAGCTACAACGTGGACTCCAAGAGCTGCTCCGCTTTAAAGCAGGTGAGCACAGCGTGTGCCAGGGGGACACATAGTGACCCCATGGTGGGACACCCCGAGGCTGTGCCCTCTGTAGGTGCTGTTGAGGGGGAACAAGTGCTCCTCGGCAGGCTCTAACGTGCTCTCCATCTCTCCATGCCCCATGGGGACTGGCAGAAGGTAGGTTGCCTGCCACACACCAGCCCCTGCTCCGCCCTGGGAACCCTGAACCTGGGAGTGCCTGGTGGGGCAGGATGGGGCCAGGACACTCCATAGGGTTGGCTTTTGAGGGGTAAGATGGGTCTAGGGTGGTCCAAGGGATCCAGGACAGGTCAGGGCATGGAGGGCAGTTTGGGGGGGGACACAGGATAGGTCCAGGGATGTGGGCTGGCCGTGGGAGCACAGAATGAGTGTAAGGCACATGGAGCAGGCACCTGGGGTAGTCCTGGAGATGCACAATGGGTCCTGGGCTGCTAGGTGGCTCTTGGGTCATATTGTAGCTTCAGGAAACTTGGGGTGGCCCAGAGTCAAGTTGGTGGCAGGTCCCATGGGCGCATTGTGAGAGAAAGTGGTGGGTGTGGGTGGTAGGGCACTGGGGCAACTGGCCTCCATGGTCTCATAGTGCTTTGTTTGGGGCACAGGACTTCCTGGGGCAGGCATTTGTGGCACTGGGAGAGGTGATTGGGTCCCAGCGGGGACGCCTGGAAAGACCCCTAACGTGAGTCACACCGTGTGCTGAGATGGGAGGGTCCCACACTGTGTCTCCCCACCTGCTCCACTGGACCTCTCCCTGCATGTCCTGTGCTGGGGATTCTGGTCATACTGCCAAGCACCACCAGCTGTGGGACAGAAGCCCCAACCCTGACCTCTCCTCTTGTCCCTGAATTGTCCTCCTTGTCACCAAGCTGACTGTGTGCCTCTGGCTCCAGGGGTGTCCCAGGGAAGCGGTGTGGGACTATCTTGCTGCTGGCCGAGGAACTGAGCAACTGCCGGGTGAGTACCCATGTACCAGCTGCAGTGTGGAGAGGGCTGCATGGTCCCTCAGTACAGAAGCTGCTGGTGCCAGGGGTGAGGAGGTGGCTGGCAGTGACAGTCCCTGTCCCCAGGACATCGTCACAATGCAGCTGTGTGCCAACAAGCTGGATAAGAAGGACTTCTTTGGAAAATCCGATCCTTTCCTCGTCTTCTATCGTAGCAATGAGGATGGCACGTGAGCACAGGGATCCAGTGGGGCAGAGAGGGTGCCAGCGTCACCTGGCAGCATGGCCCAACCCTGCCCTGTCCCCCCAGCTTTACTATCTGCCATAAGACAGAGGTGGTGAAGAACACACTCAACCCGGTGTGGCAGCCCTTCACCATCCCCGTGCGCGCCCTCTGCAATGGCGACTACGACCGGTACAGGAATGGGGATGGGACAGGGACACGGGCAGCCCTGGGGCCAGAGCAGGGTATGAGCAGTTCTTTGTGGGCTTGGCCCCGCGGTGGCAGGCAGCTCAGAATTGGGTCTCGATTGGGTTTTTTTCTCTTTTGCAACCCAAATTACATAAAGGCATCCCCCTCCTCTCCAGGGCCCCCACCATGACCCAAATTTCCCGCTCGCTCCTGGCAGAGCCGCAGTCTGGGCAGACAGGGTGTCTCTACTGGAAGCTGGTGGGCAGGGTGCTCACTGCGGGTTGGGCTGTGGGCCTGGGTGTCCCCATATCAGGGGCTGGAGGGGCTGTGCCAGCCTGGCAGGTGGCTCACCCACTATGTGCCTTTACTTTCAGGACGGTGAAGATAGATGTGTACGACTGGGACCGGGATGGGAGGTGAGGGAAGGGACACCAGGGTGCTGCTGAAGTTCCCCAGGGCACCTCTCAGCCAGGTGCCTGGCCATACTGACCCTGTGTTCCTCCTGCAGCCACGACTTCATTGGGGAATTTGCCACCAGCTACCGGGAGCTCTCTCGAGCACAGAGTCAGTTCACAGTGTATGAGGTAGGGTGGTGGGTCAGGGTGAGGGCAGGGTGCGCTCCATGCTGGGACTGACTCACCCCTGTGCCTGCAGGTGCTGAATCCCAGGAAGAAATGCAAGAAGAAGAAATATGTGAATTCTGGCACTGTGAGTGGGGCTGGGGAGTTCCTGGGCCTCCTGCCTCCCAGGGGCTGGTGTGGCTCCACCTGCTGTGTGTGCCAGGTTCCGGGGGCTCCAGATCTGATCCTCTGTGCTCACAGGTGACACTGCTCTCCTTCTCCGTTGAATCTGAGTTCACCTTCGTTGACTACATACGGGGCGGGTGAGTGGGGGGCCGGGAGCCCCCCGGCTCCTCGAGAACCACCATGGCTGAGAGTCTCGGGGCAAGGACAGTGGTGACAGTGAAGGTTCAGCCTGGGGGTGACAAGGGGCAGTGGGGCTGGGAAGTAGATGCAGAATGGTGTCATGGGGCTGTGGGGTGCTGGCTGGGGTAGGGGGGCCAGGGCAATGGGTCTGGGCAGGGAAACTCCAGCACTGTGGGGCTGGAAGGTGGTATCCCTGTGCCGTGGGGCCGGCAGCCTCCCTTGCTCTCCCCCTTAAGGACGCAGCTGAATTTCACTGTTGCCATTGACTTCACGGCCTCCAATGGTAAGTGCACTTGGTGTCCGGGGGGTCCCCATCACTGTGGGGCTGGCTATGGGGTGGGTGCAATGGGCACTGTGCTGCAGGGTTGCCATCACAGCCCACCTCGCTGCACTACGCAAGCCCCTACCAGCTGAGCGCCTATGCCCTGGCACTGAAGGCAGTGGGGGAAATCATCCAGGACTACGACAGTGACAAGCTCTTCCCTGCCTATGGCTTTGGTGCCAAAGTCCCACCTGACGGCAAGATCTCCCACCAGTTTCCTCTGGTGCGCCCTCCCTGTGAGACAGGGCTGAGAGTGAACCCAGACCCCTGGCTGTGGGGCAGAGCTGGTCTTGGGACTGCCCACAGCAGCTTGGCGGGGAGGGGAAGCACCCTGGCAACATTCTGTCCCAGCGTCCCACAGCCTGGGGGACAGCAGGAGCTGTGGTCCCCCACCAAGTGCCCCATCTCTATCCCCCAGAACAACAATGTGGAGAACCCCAGCTGTGCTGGCATTGAAGGCGTGCTGGAGTCCTACCTCCAGAGCCTGCGCACCGTCCAGCTCTATGGTCCTACCAACTTTGCTCCTGTCATCAACCAGGTGGCTGGGTGAGCACTGGGGCACTGTCCCCTTTGCCATCCCCAAATGCCATCTGCCCCACAGCAGGGTCGACTGCCCCACACCAGTGGGGTGCTTGAGGGGCCCCATCCCTTTTCCCCATAGGATAGCTGCCCAGGTGACCGATGGCTCACAATATCACGTCCTCCTCATCATCACTGACGGTGTCATCTCTGACATGCTGCAGACCAAGGAAGCCATTGTCACTGTGAGTGCACCCTTGTTGCTCTGAGTTCACCTCATATGGATACTATCCTGGCTGACACCCTGCCTCTGCTCCACAGGCTTCCTCCCTGCCCATGTCCATCATCATCGTGGGAGTAGGTCCAGCTGAGTTTGAGGGTGAGTTGGGACTTGGGGACACCGGGGAAGAGGGATGGAAATATTGTCCCTTCCTCTGGGACGCCAAAGACATCCAAAGGGCTGGTGTTTCCATCCCCGGTGTTCATCCCACCGAGGCTTGGTGACACCAGCTGTCACCCCCAGCCATGGAGGAGCTGGACGGTGATGAGGTACGGTTGTCTTCCCGGGGACGGTATGCTGAGAGGGACATTGTACAGGTAACTCTGGCACTGAATCCAGACCTGCCATGGGTGAGAGATGCTCAGTCCCCCTTGCTGAACCCCACAGCAATAGAGTTGTTTCCAACCTGACTGCAAACTTTTTGCCCTCAAAGTTTGTGCCATTTCGGGATTACGTGGACGACTCGGGCAACCAGGTGCTGAGCATGGCCCGCCTGGCCAAGGACGTGCTGGCTGAGATCCCTGAGCAGCTGCTCTCTTACATGAAGACCCGTGACATCAAGCCTCGCCGGGCAGATCCCGAGTAGCTCTTCCATGAGCCATGGGACTGACTGGTGGGGCGAGGATATGTCACCCTTTTTCTGCCGGTGGCCAGGGCTTAACCGTGGAGATGTGACCCCATTAAGGAGATAATCAGCTGCTATGGTTGGTCAAAACAGGGCTGGGACCCGCTTCTGGCAGTGAGACCACAGGGCTGGACATCCTCGGCTGCCCCCTCCTCCTGCCCGATGTCCAGCAGCAAGGCGGGACTGTCCCTCGACCGTGGCAGCGCGGGCAGGGCCAGCGCGGGGGGAACACGGTGTGTGCGTGTCCCTGGAGAGCAGCCTGGCGTCTGCCCCCGGGGAAGGCTGACCCGGAGTGCCTGCCGGGGGTCTCAGCCCCGCTGCTCCTCGGGGCAGCGGCCTCGCCCTGCTCCTGCCTGCACCCCATTCCTGCCTGCACCCCGCTCCCGCCTGTGCCCTCTCCTCCGGCTCTGCTAACGCGGCTGGCCGACCTGCCTCGTGCCCTGCCCGCGGCCGGGGCTCCCGCCGCCGGGGGTGCCGGGGCGGAGGGCAGGCGGGTCTCTACCGCGTTACCGACTGTAAATAAACTGCTCAACCGGGTCTGCTGCCGTGCTGGGGCAGGGGGAGCGGGCAGAGCAAGGGGAGCGGGAGGACCGGTGGGGCGGGGGTGCCCAGGGGCCGAAGGTACCGGGGCCGTGTAGCCGGGCCGGGAGAACCGAGAGGACCTTGGAAATTGAAGTGGCCTGGGGGACCGAGAGGTCCGGAGGGACCGGGAGGACCGAAAGGGTGAGGGGGGCGAGGGGGACCGGGTTGGGGCGGGGCCGGGCGGTGGCAGCGGGGTCTGTGATTCGAGGCGGCAGATTCGCCATCGTCATCGCGGCGCGACCCGGCCCGGCCCCGCCGTTCCCACGTGGCCTCCCCGCCCTGTCGTCGCTGCCGCCGCCACCGCCTTCCCCGTCCCCTCCGTCCTCGCTGCCGCCGGTCCTGCCCGGTGCTGCTGCCCGGCGGTGCCGTGGCGAAAGTGCGGTTGCTAAGGGCGGCGCGGCGCTTTACCCAGCGGCCGCCCCGCGCCAGGCGCCGCCGCAGCTCCATTGTTGGGGCCGGCCCGGGCCCGCCGCCGCGGCGGGGGGCCCGGCCCGGCCCGGCCTCGGCCCCCCGCGGCCCCGCCATGGGCGTAGATTTCGACGTGAAGACCTTCTGCCACAACCTGCGGGCCACCAAGCCGCCCTACGAGTGCCCGGTGGGCACTTGCCGCAAGATCTACAAGAGCTACAGCGGGATCGAGTACCACCTGTACCACTATGACCACGACAACCCGCCCCTGCCCCAGCACACCCCCCTGCGCAAGCACAAGAAGAAGGGGCGCCAGGCCCGCGCCGCCAACAAGCAGTCGCCCAGCCCCTCCGAGACCTCCCAGTCGCCCGGCCGAGAGGTGATGACCTACGCCCAGGCCCAGCGCATGGTGGAGGTGGACCTGCATGGCCGCGTCCACCGCATCAGCATCTTCGATAATCTCGACGTGGTGTCCGAGGACGAGGATGTTCCCGAGGAAGTGCCCGAGAATGGGAGCAATAAGGAGAACACGGAGACGCAGAGCGTCCCGCCCAAATCTGGGAAGCACAAGAACAAGGAGAAGCGCAAGGACTCCAACCACCATCACCACAACGCCTCGGCCAGCACTACCCCCAAGCTGCCCGAGGTGGTGTACCGAGAGCTGGAGCAGGACACCCCTGATGCCCCGCCTCGTCCCACCTCGTACTACAGGTATTGTCCGTGGCTGGGTGCAAGGAGACTCCTAGGCTCATTCCCTGGGTTTGGAGGCAGAATTGGCCCCACTCTGTTTAAGTGACTTGACCGTGGCTGCTGGAAATGGCCTTTGTCTGCCTCTCCCAGGTCTCACAGCCTGTTCCATGGCTTCAGGCTCCTGGGGCTCTGCCTGGTGTCACCACAGTTCTGAGGGATCTGTGCATCTACAGAGCTCTCAGTTGCTGTTTAGGTCATTTCCAGCAGTTTGATTGCTCTTTTCTTGCTGGAGCAGCACCTAAAATCAAAGCAAAACCTAAATGTGTCCTTTTGCCTCTCATTCTCTCTTTGGAGGTATGCTGGGATATTTTCAGAGCCCTTCAGCACCAAGGTATACCTGTAGGATCTGTCTGTTTGTGAGCATACTTCTTAATTGTTTTCTTCCAGTACTTTGTGAGAGATCTGGTGGATGCACTGACCCCAGTTAATACCTCAGGCAGGAGTTAACAGGGCCCCATAACCAGAATTAATGAAACATGGCACCTTCATGCATGGTTATCGTGTCTTGGCCATGAGGCTGCCTCCAGATCACTGGCACTTGCTGGGTGGCCCATGCAGGCCCCCTCTTGTACTGATGAGTCTCCAAGGCCTGACCTTGCTCCTTAGACCAGAGTTGTTTTGTCTCCAAGCTGCTGTTGTTCTGCTGTGCTAGTCAGGGTGCAGCAGCACCTTCCGCTTCTGCGCATTCCTGCTTTGTCCCTGTTTCTTTATTTTGACTTACAGCTCAGCTGGAGCATTTGAACATTCCTTCAGTCACAGACAAGTCCTGGAGTTGAGGCTCAGCAGCTCCAAACGTGTCAAACATGCCCTTATTTTCCCATGCTGTCCTTCCAGGTACATTGAGAAGTCGGCAGAGGAGCTGGATGAGGAGGTGGAGTACGACATGGATGAGGAGGATTACATCTGGCTGGACATCATGAACGAGAGGCGGAAGAACGAAGGCGTGAGTCCTATTCCCCAGGAGATCTTTGAGTACCTGATGGACCGGCTAGAGAAGGAGTCCTACTTCGAGAGCCACAACAAGGGGGACCCAAACGCCTTGGTGGACGAGGATGCCGTCTGCTGCATCTGCAACGACGGGGAGTGTCAGAACAGCAACGTCATCCTCTTCTGCGACATGTGCAACCTGGCTGTGCACCAGGAGTGCTACGGGGTGCCCTACATCCCCGAGGGACAGTGGCTCTGCAGACGGTGCCTGCAGTCACCCTCGCGCGCTGTGGACTGCGCCCTCTGCCCAAACAAGGGGGGGGCCTTCAAGCAGACGGACGATGGGCGCTGGGCACACGTGGTCTGTGCCCTCTGGATCCCGGAGGTGTGCTTTGCCAACACCGTCTTCCTGGAGCCCATCGACAGCATCGAGCACATCCCGCCCGCACGCTGGAAGCTGACCTGTTACATTTGCAAGCAGCGTGGCTCCGGGGCTTGCATCCAGTGTCACAAAGCCAATTGCTACACTGCCTTCCATGTCACCTGTGCCCAGCAGGCCGGGCTGTACATGAAGATGGAGCCCGTCAGGGAGACGGGCGCCAATGGTACCTCTTTCAGTGTGCGCAAAACCGCCTACTGCGACATCCACACACCGCCAGGTTCCGTGCGCAGGCTTCCCGCCCTGTCCCACAGTGAGGGGGAAGAGGAGGATGAGGAGGAAGAGGAGGAGGGGAAGGGCTGGAGTTCTGAGAAAGTCAAAAAAGCAAAGGCCAAGTCTAGGATCAAGATGAAGAAGGCGCGGAAGATCCTGGCAGAGAAACGAGCTGCAGCACCTGTGGTTTCTGTGCCCTGCATCCCCCCCCACAGGTACGACCTGCTGCCCTCCCTGGACTGGGGAGAAGTTTCTCCTTTCGTCCGTGCTTTGTGCTCTGCTTCCCATGCGGGCATTATCCTATTCCCCTCCTTAGCTTTTTGCACAGGTACTTCTCACTCTGTTGCCGCAGAGGGCTGTGGTGGTTTCCTTGGGAGTCCTGCAGGGAGGCAGGGCCATGCACTGCCCCACAAAGGTGTCTGGGCCCTCGGCAGGGCAGGAAATAGCTGCTGTTAGTTTAACAGTAGAGAATGAACTTGGCCGGATGCATCAGGAAGCAGCTGGAGGTTCCCAGCACTCCTTTCCTGTTGCGCTGACCTCAGGCACTGGAGTAAACGAGGCAGGGAGGAGGGAACTGCTCTCCTTTCTGCTGAGGTCTGTTTTCTCCTGAGGCTGTGTCAGGCAAAAGAAAGAAGTGTGGGAGTGATTCAGGCCTGGGAAACGGGCTAATCCCAGAGTTATTTTGGCTCTGGAGCAGAGAGGTCTGGGCAGAGCTCATCCATCGCAGCAGCCACGTACTGCTTGCTGGGCTTCCTCAGTGCTGTCTGCCAGGCACAGCAGCAGCTGCTCCTTCTTGGCGCTGCCTGTTGGAGCAGGGCCGGGCAGCCACGGGTGCTGAAAGCTGTCTGTGAGGAGGGGTGGCTGGAGAGCACCAGGACTCCTGCCTGCCAAGGAACACCGCGGTCCTAAGGCTGACTCCCCAGTACGAGGCCTCAGGAGGGGTTATGTTTCTGTCACATTCCAAACCTGTGGTTTCACGGGAAGGTGTAAACACCCTGTAGTTACAGTTGCAACTGCTTTATGCCTTGCTCTTGTTAGATTGTTGGGCTGGCGTGCAAATCCCAAAACAAGAGCGTCTAAGAGCCTTGCCAGAATTTTTCAGTGTAGTTTATAACTCTGGATGTCCTCAGCAGCATGTAAAAGCACATAAGGGCATCCTAGGATGTTTTTGGATCTCATTGTCACCCTGCAGCAGGCAACACCCAGTTGAGCACAGGTTGGGCTTGGAATCATTTGCCTTTGTGGTGGTGAGCCACCAATCCTGAGCTTCTGAGCTCTCCTTTCTGTGGCAGGAGCTGTGCTGGGGCTGTGGCCATAGGACATTGTCAAGACCCTCAGACCCTCAAGACTTATCTCCTGTGCACTTGGAAAGGAGCACATGGAAGCCATGGGCTATGCTCTCTGGGCATCATTCTGGTGACTTGGGGAGGCAGGTCTGCCACTAGGCTGCTGGCTTTTTACCACGGTCTGTTTGTGTCCCAAACTTATGTTTTTGCTCACTCAGGTCTTGCTCCATAGCAAGAGCCTCTTTTCTTCTGTGGGAACGTGCTGGCAGGCAATTTGTAGGGTCTTGCTGCTATTGCGTTCACAGTGAAACCTACACTGAGCTAGAATCCTGTTGGGATTAATTAATTCTTCAGGGCCTGTTGCCAGAATGCCACATGTCTTCCTGTGGGAGCTGTGCTTGGCCAGTGATGGCATATGAGGCAGCTGTCCCCAGTGTCTTCAGCTGAGGCTGATGCAGATTGGGTCATCCCTTGGGAAAAGCTGTCCCTGGGAGGTGGGGAGATGCTGAAGGTTCATCCCTTTGTCATTCTACTAGCTGGGCATCTCTGTCCAGCTCTGCTGAGCAAGGCTGTCCCAGCCCTTCCAGACTATCTGCTGTTGTAGGAAGTGAGCAATCCCTTTTGTGGTGTTCTGGGCTGTTCAGGATAGTCTTGGATGGGATATCTATTGTGCTCATGCCTCCTGCTCCCTCCTCGTGCTTTGCCAGGGTTTGAGTTTCTCTGGTAGCATTTGGCCAGATCCCCCCATCACAGCAAGTGGCCCTCAGCCAGGTAAATAATGGTTTTGGGGTAGTAGCACCATAACACTTGTGGTCTCAGGGACCATGGGAGCTGTTAAAGGTCCAGCCCCCAGTGTGTCTGTCTTGCACCCCAACCTGCCCCAGGCTTTGCCCAAAAGCTGACAAGAAGTGGAAAGGAAAAGTGTGTTATGC